AGAATTTGTAGAACGAAGGGACAGAGAATCAAAAATCAATTGAGGAGAAAAGGAGACATGTTTAAGAGAGACTGATAGGAGAGAAGTTTTGGAAGCATTGAACCATGGTTAGTAGAACCCCATGCGGAGATTAGTCCGAGATCAGAGGCAAAGGAAGCACTAATGACATTAGGATCGTGATCGATGTTTGTAAGAAAGAGGACAATGGAGAGTGGTATCATCGACAAAGCATTGGATAGGATTAGATGTTTGGGATAAAAGATCGTTGCTAAATAAGATAGAGAGGGTGGGCGAAAGTATAGAACCTTGGGGAACACCGGCGTTTACAGGAAATGGCTGAGATAGGACCCCATCTACTCGGACGGATATGGTTCGCTTGCTGAGGAAACAACGAAGCCATGATACCAGTAATGGATGGAATCCGAATGTTGGTAATTTCGACAGCAGACCTTCATGCCAAACGCGGTCGAAGGCCTTTGAAATGTCGAGTGAGACCATGTAAGTTTTTCCGTGGCTATCGAGTGCAGCCGACCAGGAATGTGATGTGAGCACCAGTAAGTCACCCGTAGATCGACGAGGGCGAAATCCATACTGACGGTCATTAAACAAACCTTCGCGTTCGAAAAACGTACGCAGTTGGTCGGAGATAATGGTTCTAAACACTTTCGAGATTACAGATGTAAGAGTAATGGGACGGTAGTTGTTGGGGTCAGAAGGGTCGCCGCGCTTTGGAATTGGAAAAATAATGGCATTTTTCCATGGAGTAGGGAGAGATTTAAGTTTGAGTGAATAACAGAAAAGGTGGCGTAGAACAGGGGCCAACTCTGGGGCACAGTTTTTAGGACGACTGGGGGAATACCGTCCAGACCGGGTGGTTTACAAACATCCAAACCGCGAAAAGTTTGGCGGATCTTTCTGGTTGTTATGATAGAGAGAATGGAGTGACTGGATGTATAGGTGGGGAGTTAAACAGTAGAGGCAGCAGATAAGGTGGAGTTGGAGGCAAACCGGGAAGAAAAGTCCTCTGCTTTCTCGTGAGGCTCACAAACAAGAGTACCAGAGGAATATCAAATGGGAGGTAGTTTGGAAGGGCAGAAATTACGTGAAACCGCTTTAGTGAGGGACCAGAATGTTCGGTCATCGATGATGGAAGAAGCCAAGCGCGCAGCTTTGTGACAAATGAAGCGTTCTTTAGCTCTCTGAATAGTGTCCGAGCATTTGCTTCTGGCTTGCACGAAGCGGTTGCGGGATGCTGGATTGGGTGAGTGGCGCCAACGACGGAATGCAGAGTTTTTAAAACGTACAGCACGGTTACAAGCATGATTAAACCACTCAGGAGATCGTGATTTGCCGGTTTTGGAGAAGTGTGGAATATAAAAATACATGCCTTGACGAACAATCTCCGTGAAGTTTGAAACGGACTTGGAAACATCCGATTTAAAACAACAATCCTTCTAGGGATAACAAGCCAGAAAGTGACGAAATCTGTCCCAGTTGACTGAATCGTATCACCAAAAGGTGCGTTCGGAGTTTTGTGGTGAAATGATGTGATATAAATGAGTGAGAAAAGGAATGAGACAATAGTCCGATGAGCCTAATGGGTAAAGGGAAGTGGTGTTGGAGAAAGAAGAGGGAATGGATGTGAGAATGAGGTCAAAGGTGTGGGCGCGGTCACCAATACGGTCAGGGATGCGTGTGGGGAGGTTAACTAGTTGATCACAGCAAAAGCCTCGGCTTCGCGTCCCGTGATGGTAATGTCTGAGGAGTGCTTCAGCCATTCCTTGTTGTGGACATTGAAATCCCCGACAATGGTGATTTGGCTGTTAGAATCTGCCGACATTAGTGTCTCAATGTTGGAGGAAGAATATCAAAAATAGAAGAATCACTGCTGCTCGTGGAGCGGTAAACAGTACAAAACTAGTGTTTGAAGGAAGGGAATAAGAGTTTCAGACACAGGCTGAATATCATGTGAATGAACATAAAACCAAGCCGGCCTGTTTCGCAACGAATATTAATGAACTCGCTGCTGCAACAACGTCTGTTGTGATAATTGATTCGGTTCGTCTGCGTTGTGACGGGTTTTCTGGATCGTTCATTTCTGAGCATTTGGATTCTAACGAATGAAGCACTGTTCCTGTGGGCAGTTGTTAGTCACATGTGGCTGGAGGTTGAGGAGTAATAGGATTTTTGTCGGTCGATTCGGCTTCCTTTTGGCAAAGGTTCAAGGTGAGGAACAGATATTCTCTTATTGACCCTGGGAAGAATTGCGCGGGCATAGGGTTACATTCGATCAGTTGCGCTTCATCGATCAAAGGATCATACTTCGATTGACGATTGTGTCGTCGATACTGCACTCGGTCGGAGTACAGCAGTCAGCTGGGTAATGATGTTCCTGATAATAACTTCCTGTTATGTCGAATCATCTCTTCACGAGGTGTATCATTGGTCGGCGTGGACGAGAAAGACCGCATGCAGTGAAGAGCGTCTAATAGAATTTCCCCACAGTGACGGATTTCAGATTTCTGGATTTTAATGCTAACATGAATGCTTGCCACAACGATCCGTCTGAGTGGAAGTTGTTCGGCAATCCGAAAATAGAGAAGAGTTGCCAGAAGCACTTGATTGCTCTTGTGGAGGACATTTCTTGACAGGCAGATGCAAAAGGAAACGGAGCGCTCGTCGGTGATCGTCATGAAGTATCTACTGTGTGTGCAGGATGGCAGCGGACTCTTGAAAGCTCTACTTAGTCTTTCGAACGGTTGCGTCGCCTTGAATAGTGGTTTGTTCACTGGTTTGTAGAGCCTGGGTTTAATCTCGGCGCATACTTGGCACTGGGAAATTACGCGTCGGACCTCATCCACGTAATACGATGAGTCCAGAGAATGGACGATGTGATACATACGGGTTATGTCGGAATGACAGACAGCCTTCTGTAACTCTTTTAACAAGGTGGGATCTATAGCGGCTGTATAACAGCCGTGTGAAAAGGTTTTTAGCCGCTAAATTGTCACGTCCTGGTCGGTAGATGATATCTTATCGGAAGCATGATAGTTCAACTCTCCAGTGCTGAGTTTTTTCGTTTTTTGTTTTGCCTTTTGGCTCGCTATTGAACATAGTTGTAACTGATCGTTGATCGGTAACCAGCTTGAAATAGTTTCCCAGCAGATAGTGTCCCTATTTCTCAGTGCATTCACAATAGCGTAAGCTTCTTTGTCGACCGCGGAATGATGCCTTTCGGTTGGTGGCAGTGTTCTAAAGACAAAGGCCAACGGCCTATCACTTTGGTTGAGGGTGGCGGCGATGACAATATCTGAGGCATATCTCGACAACTTGAGGCATTCCGGACTCCACAGTAACTACCATCGCACTTTCGAGTTCCTACTTTAGTTTTTCGAAGCACCGTATGACGGGTTCAAACATTGGGAATGNGCTTCATCTTGTCTGAAAAGTGGGGCCCTGTAGCAGACGTAACTCGTTTCCTGAACTGTGAAGCACGATAAACTCGCTAATAGTGTCCCCTCTTTCCGCAAGCATTGCAGACATCTCGTGCGGGGCATTTTGGTCGTGGGTGACGATCACAGCCACAAAAGTAATAGTGAGAGGTACCAACAGCCGTTACCGTTTCCGTCGCGTCATCTTGGTTGCATGTTTGTACCGCGGGCTGTACCCAGTTGGTGGATAAAGAACAAGATAGATTGTTACTTGGATTTTGGCACGACACAGCTTGTTTCTGTGCTGTCTAATTCTTTGGCTAAGTCGACGGCCCTTTGAAGGTGGATAGTTTGTTCCTCAAATAGCCTCTGGCATAAGTGACTAGATTGTATACCACGAATAAGGGTATCTCTAACCAGTTCATCGCGATATTCTCCTGTTGAAACCCATCTGCATCCACAGTCCTTAACGAGATCCGTCAATAGTTCTAGAAAATGATCCCAAAACTGCCCATTTTATTGAATCACAGTAGACAGAACGTCTCGCACGAAGACTTCGCTTTTTTTTGACGTAGCGTTTTTTCTTCTGAATTTGGATGCGGTCATCGAAGGTTTTGCAGTCGTTTATGTATTTGTAGACCGAAGGAGCAATATGGTTTATGAGCGTACTCGACTTGGGATTGAGTGTTTCGACAGTGGTGAAGAAAAAAGAAAGGTACCAATGAATCCAGTAGTCCCCTGCATCAGAAGAGTGAGGATCGATGTCGAATCTCTCAAGTTGGAGGTATTTGTCCATTTTATAGATTCAATTGATTAAATTGTAGTGGATCATCAATCAGTGAGATGCTCTGTGCAAAACTGAACTGCGTTTGAACCAATAACTATCGTCATGTATGCATTTTCCCCCTAGTTGAAATGTAGAGAAGCATGATTGCGAATATCCGAAAACCATTGTTCGCTCACCCACTCGTTTTCTTCGAGTTGCAATTCCTTATGGGATCATTTTTACTGCTGTTCATTAAAATATGTACTTCAAGATCAACTCATCAAATCAGATTCCTTTTTGATACCTTTATTAAGCATGGGCTTTGTACGTTTTTCGTATAGTGATATTTCGTGATCATTATCATCAACATCGTGCAAAGCTATCCCACGTTTAGGATAAGATTTGATCTAAGCCCAAAACGAACGGGTTCAAACGGGCCAAATGTAGAGCTGTGCTCCACCAGTGAAATACATTTTCGCGGGATTTTGTATCCTTTATCGTAACAAACCACAATGAGAAAGCTCACGTGTCCGGAGTGCACTGTTGACCATAACTACGAAGCCTATCTCTTTTGTCTCGTGTGATGCTAGGGAAATTCATAGCTGAAAATCTTATTGTTGACGAACACCTATATCCTAGTATTTTTCTGACTTTTCAGCTATGGGTGCATTTTTAGAGAAGCCGAAAACCGACAAAGTTCGCGAGTCGGGATCTGGTAATGGCCTGCGTTATGGGCTTTGCAGCATGCAAGGGTGGAGAATCGAAATGGAGGATGCTCATGTTGCTCGTGTGGAGTTGCCGCCCCCATTCAAATCGTGGTCCTATTTCGGGGTGTTCGATGGGCATGCCGGTGCACGTGTTTCAGAACGCTGTGCCGCTAAACTCCTGGATGTAAGTCGAAAACCCGCTTTGATTTTTATCTTTTCAGACCATTTTAAATACTGAGGAATTCAAAAAGATTGCATCGGAGGATAGTGCCGAGTTAGATGTCACTCTTGTTAAGCAAGGCGTTGTGAACGGATTTCTAGCTTTTGATCGTGAATTGGCCGCTGAGGATCGAGAAGAGAAATCCGGATCAACAGCGGTAGTTGCTTTTATCACCCCGGCGCATATAATCATGGCCAATTGTGGTGATTCGAGAGCCATGCTGGTTCGCGATGATAAACCATTCCTTGCCACAGAAGACCACAAACCTTACCTGCCGACCGAGCGAAAGCGAATTTCAGAAGCTGGTGGACAGGTGATGTTATCGCGGGTCAATGGCTCTCTCGCCGTTTCCAGGTTCGTCCTATTTTTACATTTTAATTATTATACCGATTGTCCACCAAACGACATCGCGTTAAATATGCTCAGTCGATAATGACACCTGTTATTGCCTTGTGATTAAAATTAGTCTTCAGGATAGTTCATTAGTAGCGGCCGACAGAAACTATCTACCTCGGGAGGATATAGTTCGGTTGTGCGTGTATGACGGACAAGACATGTTGCTTGTTTTCATATGCTGGCATCCGGGATCCGCAAAGAAACTCTGTTTCTTTCATCTTGCTCTTACCCGACAAGCCAACAGGGGATTTCACTGCAAATTCNNNCTCCCGGCACCTCACACCACTTAATTTCCTGCTGTCGCCAAGCATTTTTTTAATCGTTAACGCGGTTCATTCTCAAACCGAATACGGATACCAAAACGCGTGGTTCAAGGCATACATAGCTTTTTATGTCGATAGACAAACGGTGGATCCTTGACATCGGGTTAATTCCCCAAGAAGATGGAGGCTGATTTTTGTTGTCTTCAAAAATCATTTGTTCGTAAAATGCATCACAATGTCAACTCAAAATATCATTGCGAACAAGTTTTGGGTATACGAACAGTGATAGATCAACAGAAATTCGTATATATATATATATATATATATATATATATGA